TTTAATAAACCTTCTGAATTTCAAGACTGCACCTACAGCACGTTTTTCAAGGCACAGTCATGTGTTAAATTTGCCATGCAATGTGACTTTCATGGTGGCTCTGCAATGGGCTGTCCTCAGAGGAGCTGCTGTGTGATTACTCTGCACATTGGTCCAAAAAACCTGCCTAAACATTGAATGTGACCTGGCAAAGGTTGTAGTAACTCTGTCTGTCCTGCCTGAATGGGTTTTCTTATATGAATATTGTTGTAATGCAGTATTAGACCTGGAGTAACAAGCTGGAAAGTTGCACCAGTCTTATGTTAACAGCTTCCCAGTTTATAATTGTGTGTATTTGTAAGAACGGCTGTTTCATTGCCAATGAGGATACTACTTCCAGGCTGCATGCCAAACTGCTATTTAGTCCAAGCTGAAAACTTATGGATCAAAGGACAACAAGGATCAAAAGACACCTAAAAAGGTGAAGAAGGAAGGGGACACCTGAGTGTGGTTTGATGTGTGGACAGAGGGAAGCTGCTGTTAGCTTCTGAAGTAGCTGTGTCCTTCTCATGCTCATGAGAGGAAGAAATACACAGGATAATATTTGGGGTCAATATATGCTGTGATTACCTTTCAAAAGGCAGTTTTGTCCCTGTATGTTCATCATTAGAGCATAATTAGAGTGAATCACATGTCTTCAAGCCACAGAAGTAAAGGATGTTCCCAAAGGGTGACACATCCAAGATCCCAGGTGGGGTGTGTGATGGTGGCAGCTCAAAAACCGCACATAGAATAAGGAAGGAAAAAACAGAGTGTGTTGAATCTTTCTGCTGCTCCTGGGTACAGTACCAAGCACTTGTCTTTGTACAGACAGCATTTCTCTCTCCTGTAAACAATCTTACAAAAAAAAAAAAAAAAAAGATTGGTATAGTAAAGCACAATCTTCAAGTATTTCTACAGGCAAGTTAAAAAAAAAAAAAAAAGTATTGCTCTTGGATCTCTAAAGAAACCCTCCATGGCATTCTGGGGATGTCTGACAATGGGGCAGATCTGGAGGTCCAGTTCAGTCACTCTTCATGGCCCAGAGCAGAAACTGAAGTCCATGTGGAGTTTGCTGTGTAAAAGCTGGGACTTAACAGGGCTCCTCAGAGTGGAAAGCAGGAGCCTGTTCCTGCTCCCAAGGCATGGGATGATAGAAGTCCCTTTATTTGAAAAAGGTACTGAATTTGGAAATTTCCCCATTCACAGTGTTAAAAAATAGAGAAAGGAGCTAGGAAAGATTCACATGATGTCAGAGAAAAGTCCTAACCAGGCCTTTAATACTTCTTCCAGGGCCACAAAGGAAGCATCCTTGCCAAGACAGCGATTGCTCTGACTTCTCTGTCTTCCTAGAAGTCGTGATAGTCTTCAATAAGACAGAAATTACTGCAAGAAGCCCTAAGGAGTCCACTCAGGAAGGCTTTAGTTTCCTCTCAAGCACACAGAGGGAAGCTCAGAAGTAAATGATTAACGGTCCAAAGCTTGATTTGATCTGCTGCTACAATTAAGTAGTAGCTGGCAAAGCTCACCAGCCTCCCTCAGGTACTAATCCATACTGGGCTGTTTCAAAGAGTTCCTGAGAAAGTGGAGCTTAAATAACCTCATTAAAAGCCATCTGAGAGGCGTTTCAGTTACACTAATGTACTGTGCAACTACTGAGGACATTCATAATCTGCTCAAATATAAAAATATAAATAAGTCATCTGCTGGGTAGCTGAGATTCTCCAGTTACATCTAAATGGCATATAAATATGAGGGGTATTCGGATATAAAAGCTACTTACTGACTGAAGATGAATTCAGTAAATAATTGCTGTTCATGTACTTGGCTGGGAGTGACACATGATCTTTCCATGAATGTGAATTATGCATTAGACCTGTAACTACCAAGTTCAGATATTTCTTGTGACAAGCACCTTATGGAGTGAGTGAGCTGTCAGAAAAATAGGCTTGGGCAGAACAGAGGTAAGGTTATTTTTATAAGCTATGGGCATTTTTCACAAACAGTTCATTTACCTATCTGACAATATGTACTTGCTGTATAGACCTCCCTCTCCTTCCCCAAAAAAGGCATGAATTAATAAAATGCATAATTCAGACTTATTTAATCATTGCATAGAAGGCCCTACCGCTCCCATCGTGGTCTGGAAACCCAGACCAGAGAACTGACCCAGCTGGAAACAACACTGCCTTGCTGTTGTGGTTGTGTTACTTTTCAGGTGGACTAGGTCTTGGTTTGCCCGAGGACCACATGAACCCTTGTGGGATTGCCTGGGTGCCAGCAGCAGTGAGCCCTTGCCAGGGCCAGGCCACACAGAATGTGAATGGATGGGTAACCAGGGTGCTGGGGACATGAATATCCTCGGGGATCTAAGCCTAGAGCCATCATATCCCCCATGTCCCAATAGAGTGCCCTAAATCTTGTCCTCACTATGTTCTAACATCTTACTCTCAAATATACAACTTCCGTTCTTCTCACAGGAGATTTTGCAGCTAGCAACCGGTATTGATTTAAGGTCAGAAGAGTAGTGCCAGTTACTTAAAATGTAATTATAGACTGAAATTGGGGTTTTGATACTCCTGAATTAGAATAGTATTGCTAAATTGTAATTTAAAGTTAAAAAAAAATTTTGCGTTGACAGAAAAATCACTTCTATTGCTAAGAAGTGTGAGACTGGGCTTATTCTTTTTTTTTTTTTTTTTTTTTTTTTTTAACTCATAAAATATATACATTTCAAATGCCTTTTGCTTAAAAATGTTATCAAAACTGAACAATTAAAATGTAGAATATTCACATTTTCAGATATGGTTTTGATTAAAATCCACCTTCTTAGACTGCTATAGATTCTACATATTTCCTAGCATGGGATTTTAATATGTTTTTTTGAGAAATCCAATCAAACCAGTGGTATAAAGGGTATTTATTAGTTATGTAATTCAAAAGTTATGCTTAAGCCGATGCTGAATGTCAAATACTTAATTCCAGAAGCCAATACTCTGCATGAAAATGTCCAAAGAAGTGTTCCTGAGTGAGGTCTTTCCTGTGCAAACCTGGAGCTTAGAGATGATATAAGGAACAGGAAGGACACAGATGCACTGTGCAGCTTTCTGTCCCCTGACCTGCTGTGACAGCTCAGCTTTGATACCTACAGATCAAATACAGGTGACATTTTTCATCTTGAGATATACCACTTACCTCCTACAGTACATTCATTTGGAAGAGAAAAAAAAAAGTCAAAAAAACATTTGAGATATATGGAAGAAAAAAATACAGACCTTGTTACAGCCTGGAACTGCTAAAAGCAGGTCTGGGAAAAGACTTGTTGCTTATTGCATCCAAATTTTGGATCAGAGCTCCTACAGCTCACTGATACTGGAGAGCATCTCAAGACATACCACAACTTTGCCCATGGCAGAGACATTTCTGACAGCAGTTACTGTAACTTGATCTTACAAATTTGCAAAGGGGGAAGTCCCACAAACTTCCCATGCCATCTCTTCTGGGGCATCACAATCCTGATGTCTCACGTAAACCTCATGCTGGGGTTAAAGTTCTTGTACTGCTTGCTCTTCCCATTGAGCACAGAGAGACCATTTAATCCCTTTCGTCCTCCCTATGGGCTTTCAGAGGGCTTGTGTACCACACAAGCTACTCTCCTGTTTGTTCATGCTAGCACAGCCAGGAATGTGGTGGCTTATGCTCCACTGGAGGTTCATTATAGCCTCCTGCTTCTTCTTCACAGAGCTGCTACTGACCCAGATGGTCCCCATCCCACATGTCTGCAGCTGGTGGCTTTGTCCAGCCCTGCTCTGTCCAGTCTTTCTTCAAAAGCATCCCACTTTTCCAGTTTGTCATGATCATTTCTGAAATCTCGTCTTGTTCCCCAGCATAGCCACTGCCCTTCCCAGCACCATCGGTGGTGTCATCCACAACTTCACTGAGTCTGCTACCTGTGTTACTATCTGCTCCACTGCTGAAAAATTTTGGTGATATTGGACAAACCGCTGCTTAATTCCTCTTATAAAGCTCTGTGTTTCCACCCTGACACCTGAGAACTGCTCTTGTGCACAGCTTCACAATCAGTTTTGCAGTTGTCCCCTTGTTTTGACTTTATCAAAGTGTTACAAGGGTCAAATAGATACTAAAATAAGCTAAAATCAAAAGGGGTAATCGATTTTTTTGACCTTGACTGTTTCCATAAAGCTTCTATTGCCATTCATACATCTTTTTGTTATATCCTAGACGTTTACAGACAGAAGATAGCTCTTAATAACTGATTATTTGTTCCCAGACTCCTCTGGAAATTCAGATTAATCTCACTTGGTTCCTGCCCCAGCCAGCTTTCCCCTTGTGGAGCTGGGCACCCCTCGGTGTTTCTCTCCTAACTGGGTAACTCGTCTGTCCTGTCGGAGCTCACTGAGAGGCTTGGGGTCTCCAGGGTTTAATCGTCAAGTCCTTTAATAGCATCAGGCAGACTTGTTTCCTTCCTTATAAGCTTTATTAATAAATTAATTATATTTGCAACTGATATTTGTCAATAGTAGTATTAAAGTTATATTATGAATATTTTAATAGTGTAGGTGATTTGTTGTATAGGGGTGGGGTTTTGGCCATCCTACTGCTGGCATCCTCACCGCGGGGGACCTCCTGATGACATGAAATCCCTCAGCTTCTCCTGCCAACCAAGCGCTGTGTTTAATGCACACCAGTCCTTCCTTGCTGCTTCCCTGCCAGCAGCGCACTCCCAGCTCTCTTGCCATCCTCAGCCTCGCCTCCTGGCTGCACCTCGCCTGCTCTTTGGACACTCCACACAGTCTCCACACCCCCAACAACCCGCCTTCACCCCACTACACTACGGTGGGACACCATCAACCCCTCCCCACCGGCAGCGGGGCGGGGAAGCGCGGCCCAGGCCGCGGCAGGGCCGGCCCGGGCGGGGTCTCCATGGCGACCCGCAGCCGCTTGCCCCGCCAGGGCGGCTGCGCCGGGGGTTGCGGCCGCCGCTTCCAACTGGTCTCGGCCAACAGCCGCCCGCGGCCGCCTATATAGGGGCGGCGGCGCTGCCTTCCTGCCCTCCGTCCCCGCATCCATCCATCCATCCCTCCTTCCTTCCTTCCCAGGGTCAGGCGTGGCTGCTCCTCGACCGAGTACTGGCTAATTTTATTTATCTGTATCTTTTATTTTATTTATTTTTTAATTATTTTTTTAAAAATATTATTATTTTAATTTTTATTATCTTATTTATTTATTTTTTTTCCCCCTCTCTCTCCCCGGAAGGTGCCGGCGTGGGGGCGATGCACCGCACCGGCGAGATGAGCCGGGCGGGCCGCCTGGAGCCCTGCCCCGTTGCCCCCCGCGGCGGCCGGGCCGTGCTGGGGGTGCTGGTGGAGAACGGGCAGCAGCGGCCCGGCGGCCAGGTGAGCCCTGTTCGTGCCGGATACCTCCTCCTTCCTTCCCTCCTTCCTTCCTTCTTTCCCTCTTTTCTTCCCCTCCACTACTCGTCCCTTCCCCTCCGGGTGGGCTCTGGGACTGGTAGCTGGCTGCTCCCCGCCAGGCTGCAGGTGAAGGCGTGGGGGGGTGGTGGGCTTCAGGTCATCCGTGCTCTAAAATGTAGGGGGTGGTTTAAAAAAAGTCGCTTTGCTGATGCTTGCCTCAACGTCCCGTTGCTGTGTGGCTGCTCACGTTGCTGTCAGGGTGTGGGTGTGTTTAAGAAGCTGGGTTCACAGCTGGGTGTCCTCCAGTCCTCCTGGAGCTAGCTGGCTGCTGGGGCAGGGGAAACGGAGCTGTGCTGGCTTGCAGGACCTCAACCAGCAGCTGTGTGTGTGCAGTCCTCTTGGGTGCGACTTCTTGAAGCCCCAAACTCAGCTGGTGGCTCACATATAGTAGATAACACGAAGGGCTGTATCCTGTTCACAAGCTGAAGTCGTGGGGTTTGTGGTGCTTAAACTCAACGTTTCCAACTTTGGTTTATAAGTTGACATGCATTTGTAAGTCTGTGGTGGTGCTTGAGTGGTTCTTCTCATTGCCCTAACTTGCTACACTTTCTAAAACCTGCTCTGTGCTACACTGAATGTGGAGCACACCCTGCACTTGCCAGCTGTCAGAGCCAGGCAGTGCCCTTGCTTCCAAGGCAGTGCCAGTGCGTCCCAAGTGCCAGCTGCAGTGGGTGGCTTTTCCAATTAACTTCTGTACCTTGCTTTGTTAACCAAGGAAAGTGATTTGTCTCTCTAAAACAACCAATACTGTTTGCTTTCTTCCTGAATTGCCCTGCCACAGCATTGCCATGCACTCTGTTTCAGAGTACTGCTGTTACCAGACACCTTCCTGTCTCTAAGAATGCCATCCCTCCAGCTGGAAAAGATGAATTATCCAGCTACATGATCAGTGCTGCATCAAAGCAGGGGTTTACTATCTACATAGATGAACCGGAACAGAAAGAAAACTACAACTGCCAAGTGGATGAAGAGCTGGAATCAAGCCTGTGTGAACTGGATACTAGTGCAATGACATCCAGTGTTCACCTACTGCTGGATCTAAGTACAGGTAACCATGGTTAATACATGGTATCTGTAGCACAAGTATGTACAGTTGATCATGAATTGTGGTGAGCTGGTGAGTAGCTTATTTTACAATAAGTAATGCTTCGGGATAACTTTAGTTGTGTCTAGGTGACGCACAACACTTCTGCTGTGCTAGAAATAGCAAGAGAAGGTGAAGAGGCTAACTATCCAAGTGTCTTTCTGTCTCTTTTTGCCTGCTAGCTTCTCCTATGCTAGTGGATACATCCTTCCAGTCTCACCCTGTGGAACAGATGGGAGATGTCATAACTCTAATGACTGTGGGAGAGTATGCAGATGACATTCATCAGTACCTCAGAGAAGCCGAAGTGAGTGTCTTCTAACAAACCTAGAGGTATTTGGGATGTGGTGGGCTGCAATACTGCAAAGCTGTATGGTTGCTCCAGGATAAGTCTAGGCAGCCACTGAGCAAGCAATAAAATCCATCTCTCTAGCTAGAGAGGTTCATAGGTATCTTCTAGACAGTTATGAGATCTTTCAGGTATTACTCTGCATCCCAGAAATACCCCACTGTTGGAGCATGCCTTGACTCCAAGGAATGAAGAGTTCTTGCAGGTGGGAGGTGAAAACTGCAAAATTACTGAAGCAGTTGGATGTGACCTCACTGACAGGTCTTCTGCTCCAATAGACTTTTTTTTTTGTCATTCTTTATCAGAACAGTAAAATGCAGTCTCTCAATAGGGGGAGGGGAAATAAATGATTTGTTTCTCATTGTCAGGTCCTCCTGAATTGCTTATATGTGCAAAGGCTCAACTTGACAGTCCAGGAGGTCCTTTACTTTTCTGTTACTAACATGGTAGCTCTTATCTCTTCAGTTTTTCTAGAGATGCTGCTAGTTAATACTGCTAGTACTGTAACTATAGCTAGTAACTAGTTATTAATAGTGTAACTGCTCATGTTCCTTTTCGTAGAAGTTCACAGAATGTTAATCAGCTCAGCCTTCAATGGTCCTTTCCAGGGTAAGCAACCTGATTCTTCACTTGTCTCTCCAAACAGATTAAATACAGGCCCAAGCCCCACTACATGAGGAAGCAACCAGATATCACATCAGGAATGCGTGCCATCTTGGTAGACTGGCTGGTAGAAGTAGGGGAAGAATACAAACTTCAGACAGAGACGTTATACTTGGCAGTGAACTACCTGGACAGGTTTCTCTCCTGTATGTCTGTTCTCAGAGGGAAGCTGCAGCTTGTAGGAACAGCAGCGATTCTTCTGGCTGCGTGAGTGTTTATCTCAGAAGATATATGTGAGCTAAAACTTATTTTTAGGACTGAATCTTTTTGTTTAATTTGATAGACTGAAGCTTGCAGTGGTAGGTAGGTTTTCCTGGTGTCTTAAGATTTGCCACTTGACCTACTTGGGCACTAGCTGAATTAGATGCTTAATATTCGTGATTAAGGAACTGTAGTGGGAAAACCTTAAAACCTTGTAACCATAACAGCAGAAGAAAAACACTACTGTATGAGGCTGCTAGCCCATAAGGCTGTAATAGATTAAAAGCTGCAATCTGCAATTAGCCTTGAACTGTTTTTAAACAGACTGGGTGCCCAATGAAGCCTAGGAGCACATGAGTTTTTATCTGGAATGCATGGTGTTACTGCAACTTGCTCTTTAACACTCTGACTAATAGAAAACTCCTAATATGAGTATGTCTCACTAGACTAGTGGACTTGGAATACCTCTAAATATCTTTGCCCCACAGATTTGATTCTCAGCTGTTACCCAGATCGGAGGAAGGTTTAAAACAAGAACTCCAAGCAAGTCTTACTAATACCATGTTCCCATCCTGATAAGGGAGAAATGCTTTTTGTTACCCTGACTTTTAAGCTGACAAATACGGTTTCTCTGTTTCTTTTGAAGGAAATACGAGGAAATCTACCCACCAGAAGTGGATGAATTTGTGTATATAACAGATGATACATACACAAAGAGGCAGCTGCTAAGAATGGAACACCTGCTTCTCAAAGTGTTGGCTTTTGACCTCACAGTGCCTACTATCAACCAGTTCCTCCTTCAGTATATTCAGAGGCATGGAGTCTGTATCAGGACAAAGAACTTTGCAAAGGTATGAATTACCATCCCTTTAGGATGGGTGTTTTGTAGAAGTCTGTGCTTAGACTTCTGGATAAGTGTCTGATTGAAACACTAAGCTTTGTGTTATCTGTCTGGTCAGCTAGTCTGTCTTACTGGTGAGGAGGTAGGAATCCATTCTTCGACAGTGGCATGCATAGTAAGCCTGACCTGGACAGGATGGTAAAACATACTGCTACACAATGACGCAGCATGTGCCCACAGAACTGCCCGGGGTACCATGCTTATACAGATCAGGTTACAGGGTAACCCAAGCTTACAGGAAAACACCTGACCTGCTGCTTAGCTGCAAAGGGTGTAGTATTTATACAGTGCCTATTCAAATGGAGCCCAAATTCTGTTTCTGAGAGCCGCCCACTTAGCCCAGATCTCCAAGTGAGGTGAACAAAATCCTCAGAGGAGAGCATGGCCTCTTTTCCTTTACAAATATTTAAAAAGATGTCTTTTTAAACAAAACTTGATGATTCTATCTGTAAAATTACATCAAAAACAATCATGACCAGAAGTTCATTATAATTTGGATTGTTTAGGCTTTGACAGGACAGTGGTCTCTGTTACCGCTGGCACATGATAGGTTTTTCTGAAAGATGAACAGGACTTGAATGCTACTTCTGCTCACCAGACAGATATAACTCATTTCTTCAGTGAAACTGAAACTATTGACCAACTTAAGTGCTCAGTCTCTTGGCCTTATTCTACCACACAGGGCCATTCTATTTGATTGGCTTGCTTTTTTGCTCAGTATCTTGCAGAATTGAGTCTCCTTGAAGCTGATCCTTTTCTGAAGTACCTTCCTTCACAAACTGCTGCAGCAGCCTACTGTCTAGCAAACTACACGGTGAACAGGTCTTTCTGGGTAAGAAAAACAACTGTGTGCTAAAGTGCTCAAGCACTTTATGATCAAAACTTTGAGTAGCATCAAAACATGTTTTCATAAAGGCTGAAATGCTAGGATGAGTGGCTGTTCCTGAGCTAATGGGTCTACCTGATTAACAAATGTTAAATCAATCTGAAATATCCTGCCTTCTATCTGAAATGGGAAGGACCTTGCTGTCATGTTCACTTACATCAAGTCAGTAACTAAAACTTGTCAGTAGTTAGTCTCAAATGCCATAGATAGAATTCAGGGGCTTTGGGGGAGGGAAGGGGAAAACTGAATGTGCCTGCTTCAGTGAAGTGACTACACTCAGTGGCTGCTGTAATGCAGGCCTTGGTAGGCCTCTCAGGCGTGTGTTGCAGTAATAGCTTTAGCAGGGAGCAGAATCTAGAAGAGACGTAATGGATGCAATATACTTATAGCAGAGTGAGATTGGTCTGACAGGAGGTCTGAAAATACAGACCTATAGTGAAAGTAATGGCAGGATACACTTGAATCCTTTTCAAGCCTAAACCTAGAGCGAGAACTGATGACATGGTGAAAATGGTTCCTGCTTCTGTAGAAAATACCTTCCAGGTGACTATTCTCTAAAATAGAGTAACACAAGCGTTTTTTTCCCCTCTTCTTACCAGCCAGAAACTCTTGCTGCATTCACTGGGTATTCATTAAGTGAGATAGTGCCTTGCCTGACTGATCTGCACAAAGCATGCCTTGATGCTCCCCGTTGCCAACTGCAAGCAATTAAGGAGAAGTATAAGCACTCAAAGTAAGTAACCAAGAAGCTACTGCTTTGTAACTTGGAGGTTGTAAGCACAGGATGGCTCTGGTTGAACAGCCTGGGCTACAGCTCAGTAACTGACAAACTTGTCATAGTGGACAGCTTCTGTTTCTGAAACTGAAGCCTCTGTCAGCATCTTGAGGGGAAAGCTCTTCTGGGCAGAAGAATAGTTAATTCATTGGTATGCAGATGTAGTGGATCACAATTCCCTTGGAGCAGCAGGATGTGTTTTTTTTTCTTCCCCAGTGTTTCTCAAGAGGAATCCTTAATGCTTCTTTAAACTTGTCACTAAAAATATTAACTTGTTTGATTGCATTTCTATTCCAGGTATTTGCAGGTGTCTCTTCTAGAGCCCCCAGCGGTTCTTCCTCTACAATAGGGATGGTGGATCCTGGACTTTGATAACTTCTTCCCAATCTACAAAGCTGGTCTAACACTTCATTGAACACTGCAGGTCATGTGTCTGTAACCATGGTGACCAGAATGGTTTTTAGCTAGCATTTTTTAATTAGATGCCTTTTAAAAAAAGGATATTAGACTATAGCTCTTAATATATCTGACAGCACTTTTAATAAATGTCTTATTACACTTCCTCTGAATTTTCTGACTCCAGTTAATATCTGCAGTAATGGTGTGTGGAAAGGTTTTCTTACAAAGTAATTGAGATGGCCTTTTATGTTAGCTGGACTGGATAAATGTATCAAGCTTTGTTGGTTCAAACCACATGTCCACAGACAGGTGACTGGCTGCAGTGTATTACCTGTTTTTTTCCTATTCTGATACAAGATCATGTGGCCATGAACAGAACCTCTTTTCTGGAACTTGTTTGCCACATCACAGCAAAAGCATCCACAGGCAAGTGGTTTATGAACACTCTACATATGTGTAGAAGACCATCAACGCTGAGGTAAAAATTAAACTTCCATTCAGAGTGAAATAGGGCAGCATCTTCTGCAGGAAGACGGATGAAAGGGTGGTTTGAAGAACCTTAGGAACCTTTCCAATGCAGGAGGATTCCCTGTAATAAAAGGCAATGTGAAAAGCTACAAGCAAGAACATGTAAGGCCCTGAGGGGCTGGAATAGAGCTGGATGGCTCTTGGCATTATACTTGTGGTATTTGATGGTTTTGTGACTTAGCTGTCTGAGGTGATGACTTCTGCCACTTGAACACTGAGTGTGTAATACTCTGCAGTTTCTAGAGGAGCCATCACTGTCAACAGGAAGGAAGGGGTGGAAACTCCTAAGTTCTTAACTATCTTATCCTGTGTTGCTATGCTGTTGTACCCCTCAGTTCTTCACTTGATAATGATTAAAAAAATAATAAAAATCCACCAAAACCTACCTTGTATACTTGTAAAATGCAACTCTTGTCCAAAGTGTCTCAAAATACTCAGTTGATGGTGTTAGTCAACATGCAGGGAACTATAGTCAGCTCATCAAAATGGCAAGGTAAGTCTGAGGCATTCTCTTCTAATTTTAAGAGTAGAAAACATTCAAGACCTACTCCTTCTTCAGAGAGTAATCTGTGCAGGGCATTGCATTTCCAAGCAAGAATATGCTTTACACTTGACATTAAGATGCAATTCAACAGAAGTGCTATTTCTTGCACTTAGATTAAGTACTAGCTAACAAGCCTCTTGCTTTAATTTTAAGACCTGATTACACCAGCATGTGTTGTGAAGCTCGTAGCTTCAGGTGTTTCACTTTCCTTGACAGGCATCAGAGCTTCCCCCCACCTCCTCCCTGTCTAGGTTGCTGAATCCTGCTAGCAATGAGAACCCTTGTATACCCCTGAAATGGAGGCAGTGGTAAAAACTAATTCACTTAACAGAAAATATCTTTTAAGGGAGGGGGAGTATTTCTGTTTCAGCCTATCCTATGCAGTTTTTAGTGTCTCACTTCAAACACTTTCTAGTTAAGTACATGAATCTATTTTATTTACTGATATTGACAGTTGTGACTAGACATCCTCTACTTATGTCACTGGTACCCACTTCATGGTAGGAGCTAGTGCCAGCTCATACCTGCTGCAGTGGATTTCATGGTTTATGGGAATAAATGCCTTGGAGTTGGGCTAAGAACTTCACCCATGTGTTCAGGCAGCTCCTTTAAAGTGGCTCAGAACAAAGGCCAGAGAGGGCGCACAGTCACAATGGGGAGTGAGGGGTTTTTGATTTGCTGTTTCATAATGGAACAATAAGTGTACTGAGGAAGAGTATTTATAAATATGCCAGACTTATGAGTTTCAGCTTTATAATGCTGCTTCAGGCTGAATATAACATATGCTGAAACCCTGTGTTAATAAGCCTTAATCTATTTGTAAGGTATACAGGTGCCTGTTGAACTTTGAGTACAGCAATGCAGGGTGTTTTGGAAGCACTACTGAATGTCTCCTAGTGCTATACCAATTTGAAGGTATTCATGGTCACGGCAGAAGAGATGAGTTTTGATCTTAGGAAGTCTGCTGCTACAGTCATGTCTCATCCTCGTGTGCCAACAGACCTGGTGCATTTGGCACTATAGGAGCTGAACTCCTGATCTGGCTTGCCTGAATGTTTTACCATGTGGTGTCTTCCTGGAGGCAAAACTTTCCTTCTGTTTCTCTTTCTAGAGTTTACTTAATTATAAGAAAGATACGATTGCATTAAACTTCCTTGAAGTTTTTTCTCTGGTATACTAACCCAACCGTCTGATTTAAAAATATAAAAAAAATCCTATGATCTCTGAAATAGACTGCACTCTGCCTCCTTTTAATTTTTTCATGCTTTTGAAGCTGATTTAGTAGGTTAAGCACTTTTTTTTTTAGTCCAAAAACTGAAAGGGAAAATCGGAAAAAAGTAATTGAGGTGAAGGATCACATAATTCTGCAGTGTGAATGCCAAAAGGTCTCTTCAAGATGGATTAGACTTAAATTTGTGGGACAGAAGAAACTGCTATCAGTGTTCTTACCTGTGATGTGCGTTTTGAATGTTCATATTCTATTCTCACTTTTCTTTGCTTTGGATTTATCTTGCTCAGAGCAACGAGAAGTCTTACTGTTCTTGTCCAAGTGAGCCTTGACTCTTCAAAGGTGAAAATTGCCTGCTACCTCCTTTAATTCATGTATGTCATGGCACTTAACCCTGGCCTATCCCTCCTTTGGGCTCTCCTCAGCAGGTCATGTTTGAGAAACAGATAATAGCTGCTTCTGTTGGGAATAGGGTGGTAATGAAGGTGACATAATGCTGATTTAACAAAATGAAGTGCTTAAATGCAGATGCAAAAACACTCAACAGTACTTGACTATTTTCAGTGCACGTTTTAAGTATGCAGAAATACGTGTTTGTAAGAAAGGGAGATGAAAGCAACCCAAAAGGAAAATATTCGTTGATGTGGTTCTTGGGCTATGCAGAAGAAAAACAAGACCTGCTAAGTTTACAGCCATGTCTGATGTTTAAAACAAAGAGAACCAGGCTTCTTAAAGACAGCCATATCCTGTAACTGAAATAATGGGAAATCAACATTAAAGATTAAACAGTGGCAGTCTTGATTTTTTGGTTATCCCATTTACTGCCTTATAGACAGCAGCCACAAAGAAGAACTCATTTCCTCTGTTCAGGAAATACTTAAGCTGTTGCAGCTTTGGAATTGTCAAGCCTGATTTTGCTCAGTTAACTCTGCTGTGAAGGAGATCAGTCCCTTGAACTTAAAATGTGCGTTCCAAGGGCTGAACGCTGACTTCTATGCAGGTCTCAGTATCTCCCCACACCCAATTTAAAATGTATCGGGGCAGAATGAGTAGAGCATACTGGTAAGGCAAGGTGCTTTGAATAGTGACTCTGTGCTCCTAGGTAGGGTGGGCTGAAACTGAACTGTTAAGGATTTTAATTTTGACCCATGATACTCAGTTCAAGTGCTTTCTGATAGCATTACTAAAAACAAACAAGCTCTCTAATCTTATTCTAACAGTTTCTAAGCTATTGTGTAGTGACTTCCAGAAAACCCAGATATACTGTGGTTGTGTGATCCTGATGCTTCCCTGTTGTAGTTATAAGTCATGGGTTAAAAAATGAATATTAACTATTGCAGATGCATCTGATATTCCTAAATTGCTGCTGGGAAATCTTCTCTTTATAGCTGGGGATACTTGTGAATCCATTGTTTTCCTAATATGAACAAGCAAAATTAGAAATAATGCTCTGTAGGAAGGTACTGTGTTAACAACTAGGGTCTGCCTTATTTTCCCCTTCTGTGGAGTGAGTTAAGGATGTCTGAGAAGTAATTGGGTAATTAGGGAGAATGATTTAACTGTGGTCAGGACAGTTAAGCTGTTAATTCATGACTGAAGGGTGTCTGCCTTGCTGGGAAATCTGGCTGTGTAATTAGTCTGTGTACATACCTACTTGCTGTCAGTTCTATAAATGACTAGAATTAGCTCTGATCACTGAGGTTGGTACTTATTTTGCCAGTGACCTTGAAACAGCTTCTGGGGCTGCTTTTAAGGATGAGAAAGAAGCTAGCAGCATCAGTGATTGCTTCCTAGAATTAAGGTTTTTGGCTTGCAGTTTTCCTAAGCACCTGCTACACCATAGAAAGATCATCTTATACTGAAGAGTTGTGCAGACTCTGCTAGGTAGATGTGAACTGGAGGAGATGCACATCTTGTTACACAGAAGTTCTAGAGCCCTGGCAAGTAGGGTACTCTACAGACCTTGTTAGCTACTCCGATGATTTTAGTGGGTATATGTATATTTTTTGTTGTTGTTGCATGTTTTTATTCTTATCCGGTTTATGGTTCTTGTCTTGTATGGCAAACTCAGACTTTCTCTTGGATAGTTGTTCAGATTGTACCCTCTTAATATAAAAAAAAAAGAAAATACAAAGCTCTGCAGAATAAGAGTTTCATAATGAACATCCATGGCAACACATTCATGGAGGACATGAATTATACCTGATGGTCCTGCAGAGATGCAGAGAAATATTAGCTTGGAAACCCTGCGTGATGAGTTGCTAATATAGCCAGCCCTAGTTATTCCATGCTCTGCTTGGGATTTGCTAGTGTATATGGTAGTGGTGTGATTGTTTGAGAGAATTAGCACAAACATACTTCCAGGACAGTCCACAGAAAGATAAAAAGCATACAATTCAGTTAATCCTGAAGTACATGCCTATTCTCATCAAATTAACTCGTCTAAACACAGATGAAGCAAGAAAGACCAGGCAGTCTTGATGGCCTTAATCCCTGTGAAGAAATCCAAAATCATGGCTCTGTGTCCTGAGTTCTGTGCAGTGCTGGTACTGGAAAATAATGGTGGTAGAATCAAGGACTGGTTCCTGGCCAAACGTCTGTCTCCATTTGGCTCATTACCGTGGTGCTTTGGGCTAGCTCCTTTCTAAGTAGATTTGTCCTGGGGAGAGCAGTACAAAATAGTCAGTGTGAGCTAACAGGCTGTGTGGGTGCTTGTGCTGCGTGCTCGTGTTTGCTGTCTGCCTCTCTTTTGTCTTAGCAATGTGCTCAGCATAACCAAGTGTCCCTGTAGCTAATACCAGTAAACACCTAGATAAACTGTAACAGAGTCCTGAGTCCTCGTTTTTCAGATGTTCAGGCCCTCTTTATTTGGACACAGAAAAGCATTACTGGAACAAGTGCTGGAAGAACAGGCTCATGATAAAGCTTTGAGTTCTGGCAAGAAATTGGTCATCTTCCTCCACCATCTGTAGCCAAGCTGCTTTTTCTGTTTATTATTGTTTATGTTTTGATGCATAACAACTTGGGGGGGGGGGGGGGGGGGAGGGGAGAAAAAAGGGAGAGAGCCCTACAGCCCACAGCATAATTCAGCAGACATCGACAGATTAGGCATTTGGTACTAATCAGTGTGCTGCTTAGAGTAAAACACTGCCCTGTCCCTATTAGGCAGAAACTGGAGTGTGATGTATCTCAAAACCAAATCATCCTCCATTTGGCTCTCTGTCCCTCATAAGAAGGTTGGAAACATCTGGGATTTAACAAAATGGGCGGCACTGCAGATGAGCAGCACGATGATGTTCTCTCATCTCATAATGGAGTAAGATGTTGGGGTGGCAGACCCTGCACTGCACATATTCAAGAACAGTGTACCTGCCCCGTAGCTCTAATTTATCGTCACCTCTATTTACTTAGGAGGCATGCAAAGGTACTTTCAGGTTCAGCAAATCAGGAAAATACTTGACCTCTTCAGCATATTAAAACAGAAGCAAGTAGTGAATTCACTTACAGTAAAAACAAACAAAAGCCAACCCTCAAAAGCTCGTGATACCATATGCTGATGGTCTCCAAAGGATGCAACCAGGAGAGGGCACCAACGTCCTTGGTCCGCAGCTTGAGGGA